GGACCTCTCCGCGCGTTATGTGCTCTCTAAGCGGCCCCGCTTCAGCAACCTAGGCAACACCGGCAACCTTATGGCCGATCCCTAGGAGTGCCAAGAATAGACTGATGCGGTGTACAATGCCATCTTATTCATATGCATCTTTAACTTCAAATCACTCTGGTAAAGAACACTGATACCTGAAATGGGAGTAGTTCCTTCGGTACAAGGGCCATAAGTATACTCAAAGAGGTTGGATGTTTCGAGCAGGTTAGCTTCGTCAAAAAACAGTTTCTAAAAAAACTTTTGCGATTATTTCTTTATGTATTTTTACCTTTATACTTCTTTTCGTGTCAGTTTTACTCCATGTAGCCAGTACCAGTGATGAACTAGAAGTCCCATGGCAAAAGCAAGAACCCCGCAGGTAAATGTAGACACGTACACGAGACAGTTCACCAGATAAACTGTAATTCGATATCATCGATCGAAGCTTGTGAATATGCATGCGAAAAGTATGCAGGAATTGTAGCTGCCTTCAGTCACAGAATGGTAGTACCAGATTTCTTTCACAGCATTCTTATGAAGCCATTCCTTGACTTCTACTTACCAAGGATTGCCAGTGTAACTAACGACAGCACCGAACTCGGGAAATTGGAAGTATTTTTGATCCAGGCTTTTGATGACGAAGACCCTGCAAGTAGAGCTTTAACATTACATTTAACATGTGACAAGTTTTCAGATCCTACCCGTATCGCTGTCATGGGCATCAATCACAATATCGTCCATTTTCTGCAACTACAAACTATAAATGAGCTAACCAGCCATTGCTGAAGCTAGCATGAAAACACCTCATCTCAGTTACCTTATCAACAGTGTCTATTCCTCTTTCAAATTGCTAGCCCACTGTCGGTGCATCCAGTCAGCCATTCCTTCCCTTATGTTTACGATGAACATCGGCTATAACGCGCAGCCATTGTCTTCTTGAGGTGGAGCAAGCTAATCTGAGCCTTGAAGAGCGATCCCCGCTAAGGTGTCGTGCACTAGGTTTTGCACTAACATAGGAATTTCTTGGAACCCTACAATCTTCTTTCCTGAAAAGAGATTGATCGACAATTTTCAGTGCAGGTTTAGATCAGCCTCATCAAATTACAACTCAAAGCACTATTAACAACAAAAGACGAAACAGTAGCCTTTGCAATCAAGATTGAGGCGTACGCTTTAGATTGAGAGGCGGTGCACTCTAAATTTTGAATAACCCAAGAGAAACCGAGTTTTGTCAATTTTAGCTAGCAAACTCGTTTTCCGAAAAAGCTCGTCTAAAATACGCAAAAATGTTTGTCTTCACTTACCATATCAACTTTGTCAAGAACAAAGGCAAGATTTTTCAGTTGTCGCTTTCTCTAACATTCGTAACTTGTAGCAATGTTAGCTATTATTGCTTGCAAGTGTTTCAGAATTTATGTGATTGTCTGCTGAGGGAAATCTTGGACATTAGGTAGTAGCGTCTCAACTGAAACGAAGTTTCAGTTGAAGAGCGTTTGACCGAGCACCACAAAAAATGTTCTAGGCGGATTCTTGATGGGAACCTTTTAATAACAAGTGACTGTAGGATCATTCCCATACCCTTTCCGCACTGCTAAACACTGCTTAGCCATTGTATGGGTT